TTTTGCTGCTGTTGCTGCTGCTGCTGCTGCTGCAGCAGCAAATGCATCTTCTGCTGCTGGCTCTGATGGTGATAGAAAAGAAAGACGAACTGTATCTGTTTTATATTTATTATATGGATCTATCTGCTGCAGCAGCAGCTTAAAAAGCAGCAAACCATCTGCTGCTGTGCTGCAGTATCTTAATATATAATCTGCTTCGGGGGTACCGTAATCTATCCCCATATGTGAAAGAGAAAGAGAGAAAGAAGAAAAAGATATAAAACCACCGCTGCATGCAGCAGCAGAGCTGCAGTGACACCGCAGCTCTCTACACACATATAATAAAAAATTTTTGTTTTTTATTGAAAACATCTTCGCACGAAGAGCAGCAGGAAAAGATAAAGCACATCTATGTGATATACCATTGCTGCTGCTGCTGCTGCTGCTGCTGCTGCTGCTGCTGCTGCTGCTGCACAAGGGCGGGTCCATCGTAGTTAAGCGGCTCATTCGTTTCTCTTTCTCTTATATATATATATATATATATTATATATAATATATATAATATATTTTATATATTATATATATATATATATTTATATAGATGTTATAGAGTTGTATCTACTGTTTATTTCATATGTTTTATATATTGTATAGATATTGCGATATTATATAATAAATATTATATAAATATTATATAAAATATTATATATTATTTTTATATTATATTCACTAGGTGCATGCATGCATGCATGCATACGTATATGTATTTGTATAGATGTATAGATGTATAGGTATATATGTATATATGTATATATGTATATATATGTATATATGTATATATATGTATATATGTATATATATGTAGATATGTGTATATGTATATGTTTGTGTTGGTGTTTGTATGGCCCCTTAATGTAACAAAAGAGAGAGAATAAGAGACAGAAGGAGAGAGAGAAAGAGAAAGAAATAAAGAGAGAAAGAGAGAGAAAGAGAAAGAGAGAGAAAGAGAAAGAGAAAGAGAGAAAGAGAGAGAAAGAAGGAGATAAAGAGGATAAAAATGACGATACTAAGAAAGCAAAGAGAAGAAGACAAACAAAGAAAACAGAAGAGAGACAGGGGCACCCCCCTTCAACTCAATGCTGCTGCTGTTTTTGCTGCTGTTTTTGCTGCTGCTGTTGCTGCTGCTGCTGTTGTTGCTGCTGCTCGTGCTGCTGCTGCTGGATCTCCGATCTTCTTCCGCCGTTGCTGCTGCTGCTGCTGCTGCTGCACCTCTTGCTGCTGCTTCTGTTGAACTTTTGATATTTTCCCACTTTTCCGCTGCTGCTGCTGCTGCTGCTGCTGCTGTTGCTGCAGCCGACGGCGAGCTGCAGCCGCGGCCTGTGGTTTATATCCACCCATACGGCTCATATATCCATCATCTCTGTTCTTTTTCTCCTTTTTTCTTTTATTTATTTATTCTTATTCGCTTACAAACAAATCCTTTTTAGGCAAACAACGCAGAAGATAAACCCTGAAGCTGCTGCTGCTGCAGCCGACT